CAATTTTAATAGATTTTAGTTAAAATTGGCTGCGCCCGCGCAGTTCACAATTCCGACGAGGGCACTTAGGGTGTAAGCATAAACGCTTCGTAACTGAAAACTGTTGGCAGGTTGAAATAACAGTTACAATACCAATGAGGAGAGTTTCATACGTTGTAGCAATGCCTGCACATGGTCAGACAGTCGTAGAGAGATGAAAAAAATAAGTTTATTGCCTGTTATTTGTTTTGATATGTATCAGTTGTTTGGCCTTGAACTTGCATGTCGCTTTCGTGACCTTGGCATTGTATTTACTTCAGGCTTCAATGGAAATAATGCGTATCGATAAACTAAATGGCTTGAATTTCGTAGTTTTGTTGTATTTTGGATAACAGAAACTATTGAGAAATTGTCACAAACATGTAATATTTCTGACTCAAACGATTAATCTAGACTAAAGTATTGTCGAATTTTAAAAGTATTTAAGAACTTTTAAACTAATACACGAAATAACTAATGTTCCGATGCCTAGATTTGAAATGTCAGTCCCATGGACCCTTTCAATAATAATTTGAAAATGTCAAAGTGCCACGCTCCTTATTGGATAATACCTATCTATCTTACTAAATTAAAATGATTTTTTTCACAATATAAAATACCCTTGGCTCCTATTTAAATCATCATAACCCCAAAATCATAATTAATAATTTGCATATGGCGTATCTAGTATTACAGGACTAACGGGGTTTCGATTCCCCGGTTGTACGTGACAGGGAGTAAGGTCGGCCGTCCAACCTCGTGGGTTTTCTCCGTTTCCTCCCACTACTAAAGACCCCTACGCGCAAGCGAATTATTCAAATAAAATTGAACAATGTGTTAAGTGTCGAAATGCCCTAGTGTGTGTCTAGCGGACGTTAAACCCCATCTCCCTCCCCCCCCCCTCTCTCTCTCTCTCATTTTAAACAATTGTAGGCCTACAAAGATATTTTTTTATAGACATTAGATATGAAGTGGCTTTAGATTTTTTTAGGGTTATTTGTTTGGTCTATTAATTATTTGAAAATAGCATAATAATTTATTTATACTTGAATCATATGGTAATATATAAAATAGCAACAAAGAGTTTTGTTTACTGGGGTTTTGATTGGATTTTTGTTCTTGGGGTTTTAATTTGGGGCGTCATCTGATTGATTATATTTCCCATGCAATGAAAAGAAATTGAATGAAAATTATTTTTGTGAATGATAGTATGTTTAAATTATATAACCCGGGGAATTGGCAATATTATCATTATTCCAAATATATCTATATGTCGCAATAGATCTCACAGCGTAGCTCTAATTAATGTTTGTTAATGTCGTGATTTTAAGTTAGGAGAGGGTGACGGCTGTCCTAAGTTACAATAGATTTTAGTTAAAATTGTCCCTAAAATAGTTTTGTGAAACGCCACTGTTGTAAGTTAAGATACAATTTTAACTTACAATATTATTTTAGTGGATTTTACCTAGTATGCTTAAAATCGTTTTGTGAAACGCGTCTATCTTAAGTTAGGATGGAATTTGAGTTTAAGACGATTTTAAGGAGATTTAAGTTTTTGTGAAAAGTCACATAAATTTGGAAAAAAACGCATTGGCACTTCAGAGTCCCTGGGTGTACAATCTGCCTGACGGGACTGATACGTCCCACTGAAAAAATATATGACAGTAAATGCAAATATTGCCCATTTTTTATATCAACTTTATGAAAGGGTTTTGATTTGGACCTCTACAGTGTCCACAACCTTGATATACCATATTTTTACACAATTCGCGTACAAGTGGCAGCCATTTTGTCCGTCAATTTTGGTCCGATTTTCACGAAATTCGAACTCAACCTTTATTACGGTGTAACGGTGATATATTGAAACGGTTTTTTAAATTGGATAAGAATTGTGACCTCCAGAGGGACCACAAGCTAAAAAAAATGTGATTTTTCGTACAATCAGGGGCCATAATGGGTTAACCCATTCAAGGGCAGCGTCCCTCTTTTGGAACGACCCGACAAATCAAAATTAAAACAAAGAAAATCAAGATATTATTTAAGTAACAATATTAGTATAATACATAAAGAGCCTAATTGACATTGACTAGAAAAAAGTCACATGGAGTTACCTCCCCTTCCAAGATGGCGTCCGTAATGACACAGCCTGCAAAATGCGAAAGTCAAAAAGGTCAAAGGTCAGTAATCCTTTTACAATATATATTTCGGAAAAATTTTACGATCATATTAAAGTTTATGTGTTCTAGGTTCTCAAATATGACTTTGTCCAAGAATAATCAAAATACATTACTTTTAGTGAGCTGAATAAAGTCCGTCCCATTTTTGGGACGCTGCCCATTAAAGGGCATGTTTTTCACATTTGCCATTTTGTACATACTAAGTTCCGAATAGTGATATTTTTCAATTTTACAGCACCGATAGTGTTTTGTATAATTTTACATGAATTTTTAAAAAGTGACTTTGTTTATTTTTTATAGGTTACTGAGTGTAAATGAAGCCTTGGATCGGATATTGGATGACGAGGACGACTTAAATGGTGCCGATATTTTTATTCAACCCCCAGAATAAATTAAGTAGGAGAATATGTCTGGATAAACCAGAAGAATTTTCCGTCACCTGTAATTTTTTAACGCCGGTTAAAGAGATTTAGTAAAAACAGCAAAATGGGACTTTAGCCTACATGGGATTTTACATTATTTAACGCTTGATATTTTATACAAATATAATTAGAAATGAAATAAATTTCCTGATCTAAATAAAAACTAGTTGTTTCTTTGTTAAACCGTCATTATAATTTCCACTGCTATTGTTTATATTTTTATTAAAACATGTACCCTCTTGTGGGCAGCGTCCCATTTTTGGGACAGCCTTTGAAATGACCCAAATTAACAGATTTTTAAAATTTAACCGAATTTAAACTACCAAAACTTCAATTTCGTGCCACTTTAGACATTATATTAAAAAATCAAACAAATTTGATATCTCGCCAAAGATTGGGTTAAGATTCGATATGCACAAATATCAAAAAGAACCAAGATCTTTGGGTTATAAACATGCATTTCAAGTTTCATCAAAATTGGATTAAAATTGTGACCTCTACAGGGTCCACAACCTTGATATACCATATTTTTACACTATTCGCATACAAGCGGTGACCATTTTGTCCGTCAGTTTTGGTCCGATTTTCACGAAATTTGAACTCAACCTTCATTAGGGTGTAACGGTGATATAGTAAAACTTTTTTTTAAATTGGATAAAAATTGTGACCTCTGGAGGGAACACAAGCCAAAACCGAGATTTTTCGTACAATGAGGGGCCATAATTCAAGAAGTTACAATCCGATGTGCGCGAATATCGAAAGAAACCAAGATCTTTGGGTTATAAACATGCATTTCAAGTTTCATCAATATCGGATCAAAATTGTGACCTTTAGAGTGTCCACAAGCTAAAAATGCGATTTTTCGTACAATCAGGGTCCATAATCCATGAAGTTATGGCCCGATACGTGCCAATATCGACAGGAACAGAGATCTCAGGGAGATAAAGCTATATTTCAAGTTTCGTTGAAATCGGATAAATATTGTGACCTGTAGAGTGTCCACAAACAAATTGTGGACGGACGGACGAACTGGGGCGACGACAATATACGTCCACATAAAAATGTGGACGTATAAAAACGACTAAATTCGGGGAAGGGTGGTGGGGTGTAGTATATTTACTGTTCTAATGGAATATATAACGAATAGATATAACCTGTAACCTTTCATTATACTAACAAAACTATGCAAATAATTTCTATCTATTTATCAACTAAACGAATAAATTCCCGATAAATACCCAAACTTCAACCAAACATTTGTTGTAGTGGTCAGACAACACCGCTGTGTTTATATTTCATCTGTTGTTTAAACGACTCGCCCTGAATTCCGCCACATAAATAAAACATAGCAGATAATCTAATGAAAATGGGTGCATGAATTGACAAGTCGCAAATCCCTAGACATGATTATCACAAATACAAACTTCACAAAAAAAAAAACCATTTCTAGTCGAATCTATTTCTAACAAAACCCAACAAAGCTCCCCATAAAATGAAATGGAGTCTGACATTTACTTTTCTCAATCCACTGGGTTTAAACGCATGATATACGTCATGCAGTGTGGTATGAATGGTATTTTGCTCCGCGAGCAGTGGCTTGACCTTTCGTTCGTTCCTTAAAGTTTAACGTCCGCTTCCACCATGGGTGGCCTACACTACATGAAGATCTGACAAGTTATAGCGATACGTCACGTCAGGGGTCAAAAGACCGACTTATGACCCTATGACGTCAGACATTTGATTAACCAATCAGCATTGATGTTACTAGTGGATTACCCACAGTTCCGTGAAAAACACGCCTAAAGCTCGCCGTAACAGACCGTTTCATTGGCTTATCCCTGACACCATTCAGAACACGAGTTAAATAACAACTCTTCCAGATCCAAGTGTAGTAAAGACAAGTAAAACGAAATTTTGAACTATAAAAACGAAACAAAATATTATAGGATCTGTGTTTTAACAAGATTGAAAGAGCAACGACCGTGCTTGATATCGCAGACAAAAGAAAATGAAATGCAATGGGGTTTAATGTCCTACTGTTCAGACCCGACTGAGCGAATGAAGACGGGCATACGCCATACATTGTGCAAAGGGCCACTCATTAATATTTTAAACTGTCAGCGAAACTGTAACGTGCTGCTAATGGCATACACAGAACCCCATATCCCCATATCAAAAAACGAAGAAGGGCAGGCGATGCGCAGTTGACCAATGAAGATACAAGCCAAGTGTCATGTCGATCGTACATAAATTGCCGGAGCATTAGGATTTTTAAACAAAAGCAACAAACAAACAACAATCAGAACGACAACAAACAACAAGAAGTAGAGCTTTGGGAGCAATTTCCGGTACAACTAAAAATATATACTCCGTTATTGTTTTCAATATTTCAATATATAGTTTTTTGTCAATTAGAACAATTTATGGAGCCAACATTTTCATATGATTTCAATATTATTTACAGAAACATAATTTATGAAGCAAACTCCCATGGACACAATCTGAATCATGTCCATATTTGTTTATTCGGCTAATATCCCCCGCCATTGTGAAGTTTCCAGTTGTTTCGTCGTACCGGACCGATGCTTCAAATTCTCCTGATCCGGGCATCAGTGATACTGCTACCTGAAAAATATATGTTGAAAGCACACGTTTGGCATTAAATGACACAGTTCTGTTTATGACGTCATTCAGACTTTGTTTGTACTTCAAAAGTTTATCGTTATTTTGTATGACGTGGACCGATTTCGTACGTCCTAATTTTAATGGCCAACACATGTCTGTAACGTTATTTAACACGAATTGTTGATTTATATATGTTATTAAATAATTGACGCTCATATTATAAAACTGATCATTGTTAGATAATTCTTGTTGCGACATACAAGTACACCAATGTGGTAATATACCAGCATGGTCACATGATCTAGATACAGGAATTTCTTCAAATAGACTTATCCCCCTTTGTTCAACATCCACGTCACCTTTGACGTCACCAGTAAAATACAAAATATCCTTTAAAGTTTCGTAAATATCAAATGGTGTCGTCAATCGATTTCGGTTTATTTTTAAATTTTGTGTTATTTGGGGATATTTTTTATAAAACCATTTTGGAAAAACTAAAAACATCATCGGCAGTCGTTCTTCTAATTTACCGATGTATGTTTCTCGGATCTCTCCAAATCTCATTCCATGATCACTGAAAAATATCAACACGGTGTTGTTAAGTAGGCCCTGATTGTCAATATCCCTGAACATGTTTGAGTAGGGAGTATCAGCTGAGGCCGTGTTCGATATTGAATCGTGAGTTAATCGGCTTAGGAAGTTGAAACCAAAATATGGGACTCTGTGATACAATTTCATGAGATCTTTAGTGTAATTAAGAATCATGTCAGTTTCAAATCGGTCACCAACACAATGATGATCCGACGTCCATACAGAGTTATCCCCCTCTAGGGCCAGAGCAAATGGACGATAATAGTGATCGGCTGGTGGAACGCGAAATCCACGCTTAATATAATTAAAGATGCCAAGCCGGGGGTCGTCTTCAGCATACAAAGTAAAATAGCCACTAGAAGAAAAATTCTTCCAGATGAAATTATATGGATCAAAAGGTTCTCCACTTTTCTGTTCATTCCACGGTAACTCTTCCACCAAACGTCCGGTTGTCATGGGAACGATATTAACAAAAGTATTATCAGCTACTTTGTTGTAACCTTGTAATTCTATAGCATCAAGATGACGTAATAGGTAGTCACGTGTTGTAGGCATATTTCTAACATGATTTAATCTCGAAACAGAATCGACACCAATCATAACAACGTTCAAGGTTTCCCGCGGTTTTTTCTCTTCCTGGTGCTTAGTAAAGCGAGTCTTTAATTGCTGAAGCCTGATTAGTTGTGGTAAGATAAAGGCGTGGTAATTAGAATATATAACAATGTGTGATTTATCATAACATTTAACACGTATAAACTGTTCAGTAACCACAATATCCCTATTAAATATCGTACCATTCTGTGTATATTGGTATTTATTGTCATTCTTGTTGCCACGGTTTATACCATGATATTCACAATAAGAAAACTGTCCCCGATATTTAGTATTTATCACATCCACGTTTAACCTTAACCTTTGACCTTCTTGAAAGGTCAGTGACGTCACACCCCTACATTTGATGAAGTTCTTGTCCTTTACCAAAAATTTAATGGACGAATCGAATGGATCCACATTGGGGATACGACAAACTTCCGTGTCGACCAGAAAATGGGATGAAACTGTTGAAGAGTGAATTATTCGAGTCTTTATCATTTTAATGGTAGCCATGTATATGGACAAAATGATTAGAAGCATCATCAAAATAACATAGTTCTTCCTCTTCATTGTTCTTTTAAAAAAACTGAAATGGTAGAAGAATTAAAGTTACACCAGATTCATTCATACAAATATGGATGTAAGTCATATTAAAAAATGTTTGCGTATTCGATGACTAAATAGAAGTATGGAAGCATTTGTTATTTCAAATTTTCGCCCCTTCAGAACGCGAAATTCGAAAAGTCGACAGCAAGCCAAAGTGTCGCTAATATCGTTATGTGTTAAATTCTCAATTTCCACTTTTAAATTTAGGCTATATTTTTGTCAGGTGACTTCTTTTCAACTTTCGCTTTTTAAATGGGGGGGGGGGTAGTGGGGATAGAGATTACGAGTGGCAGATAATGTTAATGCCTTCCGTAGTCGAATACACTACAAAAAAGAATAGATTGTACGTATCTGTATTCATTTATTGTTTATATCAGTCAGGTATATGGTGTGATGACAGTCTGTGTTTGATTGAATTTCTATCAATACAAAAATTATCATTGCTTGGTGCTGGAACAAAATACAGCATTTTTGTGTGATTAACACATAAGTTTCACGAATGGATCTGCTGCTTCGTTCGTTATTTTTGAAGACTTGGGAAGTTAAGATTTAATTTGTGTAATTCGCGACCAGTGTCTAGGGTTTTAGAGATAGTTTTCCCAGATTAATACGAAAATAAATGACCCGTATATTAAGGTTCATATTTTCGAAAGTGGATTAGTGATAATCACAAATTTAATCTGCGATTGTCAACCTCAGCACAAAAAGGAACGAACTAAAGTTGCACACACGCCCACGGTCACCACCACACATACACAAACGCAACTAAGGCATCCACACAACATAATTTACTGTAACCCACATCTACACATAAATGCCATAATGTATCTACCAAAGATAGCCACGTAAAGCGTGGAATACGCCAATACAGGAATTTGTCGCAACTGCAGCTTACCCGAAAGGAAAACTTGGCATGTTGAGCAGAACGCAAAGTCGCAGATCGGTTACTATAGATAGGATTTATTCTCTCATGACCTCAATGCTTCCCACCTAATTTGAAAGAAATCGATTAAAAACTACACATTCGAACATGTACTACGAACTTGCAATTATTTGTATTGTTATTAAAATGAGTAATGGGTTTCCGTAACGTCATTCTTCTCTCTATGGTTATGTTTGCTGATTAAATAATATGTTCTGAATTCTACGTGTAAGGTCACGTAAAACATTTGACGAGTAATGTCCAAGTTAAGTGATGAGTTAATAGATATTGATTTATTAACGATTAAAACAAAGTATATAATTTCAGCTATGGGTTTTAAATAATACCTGCTAACCAAAGATACCGCAGGTAAACTTTAAAGTGTAAAACTGAGGGTCGAAGCTAGACGAACGAGGTACCAATATCTGACCATATCGGCATCTACATACTAACCTGGGATTTGCAGAAATGGGCGTCTGCCGGGGGTCCAGTCCCTCCGTGTGGCCCTGTTGACCACTAGAATGACCTCCAAAATGGGTTAACATTTGAGGTACCTGTCGAACCGATACATAATTGCCCATAACTGACGATTTGGGCCCCTGGAATTGCCCCTAAATATGCACCCCAGAGGGCTTGAAAAAAGTTTGTATACATACATTCGAGGTACCAGTTGAAAATATTTTTTTTAAATGAAAGAGTATATCCAACTGAGAACGAAATTGCCCATAACAGACGATTAGACCCTGGGATGGCCCAGGCTGACACCCCAAAGCCGAAGGGGGTCAAAAATGTGGCATACTTATACATTCGAGTACCGGTCAAAACCAATTTTAAATGAAAGAGTATAACAGAAGATTCCGGTTCTGGGACGGCCCAAACTGATACCCTAAATATGAACACCTGGGGTTTAAAAAAGGTTATATTCATACATTCGAGGTACCAGTTGAAACTAACTTTAAATGAAAGAGTTTATACAGCTGAGTACGAAATTGTCCATAACAGACGATTAGATCTCAAACTGACACACAAAAACCGAGGGTGCCAAAAATGGTTTATACTCATACATTCGAGGTACCGGTAAAAACCAATTTTAAACGAACCAATGTATTCGAGTACATCTCACTGAGTACGAAATGGACCATAACAGACGGTTTTGGCCCTGGGACGCCCTAACTGACACCCTAAATATGGACCTCCGGGGCTTAAAAAAATGGTTATATTCATACATTTGAGGTACAAGTTGAAAATAATTTCAAATGAAAGTGTACAACAACCCACTGAGTACGAAATATTCCCCTCTTAGGGTTGAAAAAAGCTATACTGACAAGTTTTGAAACTTGTTCTCCTTGATTCGCTTTGAATGTGAATGTAGATAAATGTGCGAGGACTGGCTGACAAGTTCTAAACCTTTCTTTGAAAGACCTGTACAAAGTCGATGGTTTCCATTTATTTTTCTACATACCCCCCTTCGAGGTGTACACACTGTTGCAAACGATGTTGCAAGGCCTGGATGGCGGTCAGGAAGAAATATTCATGTCGGCCTTTATCTGTGTTGAGGTTAGTCCTTTCAGTTGCAGGTAAATTTGACTAGTTATGTTTATAAATTTTTTTTTTAATCTTGAAGCTTTTAAGGTTCGGGATGTTACTAGTGACATAACAGCTTATGATTGGGCTTCCGAACTGTAAGACCTGGCCCCACCTGAAAGATATTCCATTCCCTCGTGTAGTCGCTGGAACCAAAATCGATTTGCTCATCAGACTAAATGCTCTCAAACTACATAGATCCATCACAAAAATCGGAGGACAGATCGATGAACCAGTAGCGGGACTTACTCCCCTAGGATGGACATGTGTAGGCCCTATTATTGGTTGACAACGAAGTCATGCCAGGAATAATTTCAACTTTGCTATAACCTTCTTTATTCAAGAGACTAGCAGTGTAGATACGTTGTTGCGAAATATGTGGAAAGTCGAATCGAGGGGGCTTTCTGGTAAATGACAATTTTCGCCATCAAAAAACGCAAGCTGTACAGACTACCAAGAATTCCTTGTCTCGAGTAGACAATCGGTATCGTGTGGGAATTCTTTGGAAACCCGGAGAGCCAAATCTCCCGAATAACTATGCAGCAGCAGAGTGTAGACTACTTAATCCGGAAAAGACCTTATCCAGGCGCCCTTTTGTTGCCGAAGCATATCGTAGAATCATCGACGACCAGACCAAAAAAGAATACATAGCCGAGGTTGAAGATCCTGCTAATCCTGACTCCTATTTACTACCACACTTCACGGTTGTCCGCTTGGACAAGTCAACGATCAAGGTATGTGTGCCAGGGAAAATCGTTGAACGATTACATCAGTCCAGGTCCGAAACTACAAAGACTTATTTGATGTTCTACTCCATTTTCGACCAAATCCTATCGCTCTCGTGGCAGATATTGCAGAAATGTTTCTGCAAATTGAAATAGAACCTAACGACAGACCATTTCACAGGTTCTTGTGGCGGGATTTTGATGTCCATCAAGATCTATGAATATAATTGTTAAGTATTTGGAAATTCATCATCACCTTATCTTTCATAACCTGTGACAAGAGAACATTGTCTATTAAACATTGATAAATATCTTATTGGTGCTAATTCCATTTTGAACTCCATGTATATGTACGGCTTGTTGGATAGTGTGAACGATGCATCCAAAGCTACCCAGTTACGTCGTGAAATATCACCCAAGCTCCTGGATGCAGGATTCTTTATTCGAAAATGTTTGAGCAACGACCCCAAGGTATTAGAGGACATTCCAGTTTGTGAGCATCGAGTAAACCAAGGAACCTTTGATGATGATTCATTACCATCAGTAAAAACTTGAGGTGTTTTGTGGGAGGCGGATAGTGATTTATTCACATTCCCAAGAACAAAAGCCTGGCGCTGTAACTTTAACATAACAACGAATTGTAGCTGCGACTTTATTTGACCCATTAAGCTTTCTGTCGCCCTGTACTATCCGGGCAAAAATCTGTATCAAAAAGACATGGATTCAAGGCGTTCGTTGGGATAAGGAATTACCTGGTGAATTAATAAAGCCACCGGAGAAATGGTTCCGCGAACTGCCTCAACTAAGTCAAATTTCCAAGGTGCTTGGTCAAGTGGCATTCGAAGATTACTCGTAATTCGAATCACACTTTTGCAAAGCGTTTGAAATGGCGTACGCAGAGTCTTGTTATTTACGTTGTGAATACGAAGATAGTAGCATTGCTGTCGTTTTGATCGTTGCCAAAACGCGTGTAGCGCCATTAAAGGCGATTTCGATTTCTAAATTAGAATTATGTGGCGCTGTCTTAGGTTTTCGTCTAACTATTACAGTATGTGAAATATTAAACATTTCGAAAGACGAAGTGACATTTTGGTGTGACAGCGCATTTCATATTGGTTTAAGGGCGAATCTCGTAGTTATTAAACCATTGTGTCGCATCGAATCGGAGAGATTCACGAAACTTCGGATCCTAGTCAATGGTGGTATTGTCCGATTAAACTTAATGATGCTGATTTACCAACTCGCGGGATATCTGTAGAAGATCTTATTCGTAGCGATATTTGGTGGTAGGGGCCTAACTTTCTTCACGAAGATTCGTCGTCGTGGCCAGATCTTCCCATAGTGTTAAGTTCTGTCCAGACCCAAGAAGACGTCCGTAGTCGTTGTTCAAAAACTTTTGTAATCACTCCTGCTGTACATGATTTAGGTAGACTTGACCTTCTAGATACTCTAAGTGGATTCGTTTATTGAGAATAACTGTTTCGATTTGTTAATAATTGTCGCAAGCCAATAGTCAAGAATTAGTCTTAGAGGGGCTAGAGAAATCGGAATCATTTTGGTATAGATACGCACAAAGGGAATCATTCAAAGCTCTTCAAAAGAATCATCTAGTTCGTAGTGACTCGTTGTGTCTTAATCCCTGATTGGATTGGACAAAGTCAAACATTTAGCGCATGACACAAGAAACCCAGTCATATTACCGCCTAAGGATAATACTACTCGTCATATCGTTAAATCTTTATGAAACTGGGGTTTCGTATGTCTGGTCACGGTGGCTTAGTGGGTAAGACGCTAGCTCGCTAGCCTGGAGGTCGGGTGTTCGATCCCTGCATTGGCCGAGAAAGTTCATCCAGATTTTCCGGCGTGGTTCCCCCTTGTCAGTGATGCAGGACGGAGGGCCTGACAAGGACAGCGGTCTAGTCATTCGGATGAGACGAAAAACCGAGGTCCCGTGTACACATTGGCGTGCACGTAAAAGATCCCTTGATAGTTTGAATAGTGAGCGCATCGAAAATGGGGCATTCATGGTCTTTCAAAAGGGTAGAGACACTCAAATCCGAATACATTTAAGGGTCAAATAGAAGATATTTTATACAAAATCTGCTTCTTTTTCAAAGGATTATGCAGTGACAGCTTAAAAGAGAAATTTGTATTGAAATATTTAAAATCAAATGTTCTGTTAAAAAAGCTGCTTCTGCATAATCCTGAAAATAGATTTTGAATTTAAATCCATCATGAGTTTCAACCGAACAAAGAAATCCACAATTTCTAAATATATCCAATGTCGGCGGCGTGCAGAGGTTAGATGATGTCAGGGTCATTATTTGACCCGGCCGCCTAATACTCAAGTATAGGGCCGATTACTAAGAAATGTGCGAAAAAAAACCATTTCATATAATTATGTAAAATCAGAGGAAATGAACGTGTTACATCAAAGGTAAGGATCAAATTTCATCAAACTTGATTTTGATTTCACTCTGATTGGATTCCCCATAAAATCACAACTCTCGAAACGACATATCACACTTGTATGTTGGTTGCTATTGGCATTGAATACTTTTCGAGCCTATCTGTCGCCATTTTAGATTTTGGCGGCCATATTGGAGCCACCGTTTGTGAGATGAATCGGAAACTGTCCATCAAAACCTATAAAATTATATACTCTTCAAAAAAAAAAAAGAAAAAAAGTAGGGGATATTGAAATGCAAATACCTCTGCAGGTTGTGATATGATAAATAGTTATGGACACTTGACATGCTTTGAGAGTATGTTCACAGATGAAGAACTTATCGCCCCAACAGAACCACTGAGCTGCATGTGCGTCACACAATAGCGCCATACACGTGGGAAGGGTTCATTGTCAAATTTGACACTTCAAGGAAGGGTTGATGAAAACTTCCGCGTGCTGTTTTATCCTATCCATGTTTGCTTTCCTATCGGTTCTTTCATAAGATTTACTGTTTAGCGTATCTTTGCTTTAGTGTGTTAAGTTTAATTTGCAATGAGACGTCTTCAACATGATGAACGTCTACGTGCTATTGGCATGCTTAAAATGGGTTCTACACAGCGAGCAGTCGCCAACATGCTTAATGTGTCACAGTCTGCGATCAGCAGACAGTAGAACCGGTACTAACAAACACACAATGTTGATGATAGACCTCGTTCAGGTCGTCCTAGAGACACTACATAAGCCAAGGATCGATACATTCGCACACAGGTCCTGCGAAATCGAGGAAAAACGGTCAATCAGCTTTCTGTAAACTTGTACCAAGTTACAGGAATTCGAGTTACACCCCAAACGATTAGAAATCGGCTACATGCAGACCGCGTGTTGTTCCTCCATTAACTCGCCAGCACATGGCAAACAGGCGTCAGTGGTGTAGGCAGCGTAGAAATTGGGGTAATCGTCGATGGGCACGTGTAATGTTCTCAGATGAGTCCAGATTTACTCTGGATTTCACCGATAGGCGTGCTCGTGTTTGGAGGCGTGTAAATGAGCGCCATGCTAACGTTAACGTCAGGCAGCATGACAGATTCGGGCAATTGGCATGTTATTAACATACACTGGTTACCTCTAAAAAAAAAAACAGCAGTGCATTTCCGCAGTTTTGTATCTTTTCTGAATATCCCCTACTTTTTTTGAAGAGTATATATTACACGGGTCATTTCGCCAAAAATGTTTATCGAGGTCAACTTCAGGCCATATTTGGCCGCCATCTTGGATTTTCAAGGCTCTCCTGAAGTTAGCCCCCAGATTATAAAGGAAGTAAACGACAAAAATCTCCACTAGTGTCCCTTCTGTGAGAAACCGCCATCAAACCTTGTTCCAAGAGAAATGGTCACCGATCTGGGGGTTGTAACACGACTATATAGCTTCTCGAATATGTAGCTGTATACTCCATTTGATATTACTGGCGAACATCTGTTGGCTTTCCATTTTATGGTATGGTTAGGATTAGCAATTATGTATTGAGCTATTGCTGATCTATCTCCTTTCTTATTTGTGGTAGCCAGTCGGTGTTCATTGACTCTATCTGATATAGGGCGTTTTGTCTCTCCTATATACGACGCATCATAGGTACAGTCTTGTGTTGGTTCTCTGTTTCAACTGTAAATTGGATTCAAGGATGGATGGAGTTCTGATGGTCTAACAGCTGTGTTTCATCTTGGTTTTCCTCTAGGACAGCGAACGTATCGTCTTCCTTCGGTATCAGCAGGGATTGAAATGGCAAAGTTCTTAAGGCGGCTTCTTCAAAGGATGTCCTATAAATTTCTGTTAATCATGTATTTGTTCGAACTAAGTAAAACAGGTCGATGTTTAACAGTCTTTAAGAAGGTCAATAATGTTTTCTAGCCTGAGTTTAGTCTTTATACGCCCACATTTTCATGTTGACCTATATTGTCGTCGCCTCTGTCCGTCCGTCCGTCCACAATATGTTTGTGGGCACAATTTGTTTTTAGCTTCTGGACACTTGGTTCCTTTCTATATTTGCGCATATCGGATCGTAACTTCCTGAATAATGGCCCCTGATTGTACGAAAAAACGTTTGAATATATCACCGTTACACTGTAATGATGCTTGAGTTCGAATTTCGTTAAAATCGGATTAAAACTGCCGGACAAAATGGCTGCCCCTTCAGGGATTGGTATATTCGTAAAGAGGTCGACGACATTGTAACTAACAAGTTTTCCATTGGTCTTGTTTTCTTTAATCTTGCTGCAGAAATCTGACAAATCCTTTATATATTATATGAGCGGGAAATGATCAATTTGTTTGCTCTGTTAAACACTTCATTACGTAATTGCGTCTCGTCCCACACAGTAAATTAGAAACAAAAGCGTTTCTGGGTTTTCAAATGAAACTGTCACTTATAAACAAGTATAATATATTTTCTGACTTCCCATCACCGGTCTGTTCAACTTCGTCCTGTATATGGACGGGCTGTAAAGCTCTGGACAACGGATACTGACTAAAGGTAATTCACCTTGGCTGCCAATATCCTCGAGTACATCCACGGGGCCATTTTGTAATTTCTTATAGTCTGTATCTGAATTAGCACTTAAAATTCTCCAAATTTAACACAAAAAAAAAAACAAAAAAAAAAATCTTTCTTCGGTTTTCGACTCGTACTCGGAACTAGAGATGCTCCTTTTGTTCTTAATAATGTGATCCCAAGGAAAACAATCTATGCTATTTTGTAATTTCTTTGATTTTTCCAAGGCAATTGACTAACTGGTTTAATAGACCAGATATTTCGCTAATCTGAAGCTTCATTAGTCTATAGGTTCATGCGGAGGGGCTGACAAGGAAAGCTGTCTAGTCGTTCGGATGGGACGAAAAACCGAGGTCCCGTGTACACATTGGCGTGCAAGTAAAAGATCCCTTGGCAGTTGGAATTCGATATAAGAGTAGGCCGTAGTGCCGCTGTCCGGGCAAAATTTCCCTCATAGCACACTGTATGGCGTATGCCCGTCTTCATTAGCCCAGGTTAGGAGCAGAACAGTAGGACGTTAAACTCCATTTCATTTCATTTCATTTCTATAGGTTCATATAAAGCAACAGTTTGTAGGTTCATTGATCTGAAGATTCATTATTTTAATTAGGCTGTTGGTTGATTAGTTTGTAGGTCCATTAGTTTGTATGTTCACTAGTATGAAGGTTTAGTCCGGTGACTGAAGGGGTAGGCGGGATGGTGAATCGCCACTCGAGCTGCGAATTTGAGACCAAGTTTTTCTAGGCCAGTTTTTTGCGCAGATTCCGAATCTTGGTGGTGATCTGGCGTTTGGGGGGGGGGGGGGGGCGTGATTATGGTGACATAAATGATGATCGTGTTATATGATTAATATAACATACATGTAAATGTCCAGGACTGCTCATCTCTAAATAAGTGTTTATGATGCCCCTGGACAACATTGTTTTGAATTGTGACGGGGTGCTGTCGGTGGTTGCAGGTATGCGTATGTTGGGGGGGGGGGGGGGCGGAAAATGAGTTCACGTCGATTTAAATGATGATTTTCCTAGAGCTTGACGAAACATCTCTGAATAGATAAGATAGATAAGATTTTATTGTATCATTGCATCCACCAAGGACAGCATACACAGTTTAAACAATAGTTGATCATACAATTATAACATAACATCTGAGTTGATCTTTTTTGGATGTACAATATGATATAATAACTCTATAGGCATCAAAAGATGGTCGATATAATGAAAAAAAGTATAGAGCTAAAACAAAAATTATGTAGACTGGCCTGGAAAGGAAACAAACTATTTCTACCGTAAGTATTAGTATAATAAACATATTTTATTGAACAGGAGTGTTGGTCAACAGGTAACTCTGATGTTCTTTCTTGGAGACACTTATATGTATATATGAAGCAACCTGGCTAGCAATTTCGTTTGTGAGGAATTTAAACATTAATCATATTGCACGAGATGTGCGGTTTGCTTTTGAATATTGGTGTAAATTTTGAATTTCTAAGATCGTTATATTTATTACAGTCAAATATGAAATAATATTGGTCTTCTATTTTATTATTATTACATTGTTTACATAAACGTGCATGTGGTGGCATATTTCTATAACGACCATGCTCTATCTCGAGATGGTGTGTGGTTTGCCTAATCGAAGTCAACGCAATTTTATGGGCCTTCGATTTGACGGAGTGCAGATAGAGCGGTATCGCATAAAAAACTGGCTTAATTTTTTTCATAGGTCCGAAGTTTATGGATCGATTGCGAATTGATCAGTAGCTATTAGGAAAAGGTCGACAAATTTCTTTTCGGTGGCAGATTTTATGTCACTATCTTTTAGGTCAATTTGTTCAAGTTCAAAATATCTGGTTAAAATACCTATGCTTTGACAAAAAATGATTTTCTTGAACCAACAGTTTTACAAGAAAGTTCATAATCAGCTAAAAATGACGTGTCAAGGAGTTACACATGTATATGTTTATAAGATTCCCATAGTGTGTGTGGGGGGTGGAGGGTTCCCGAGGGTGTGTGTGTGGGTTTGGGTGTGGGGGTGGGGGGGAACATGTGTTTTTGTGGACTGTGGACAGAAATCATTTGGTTCAAAATTGACCCTAAAAGTGGTTTCTCGTTGAATTTTTCGTTCAGTACCTATTTC